AAGGGCCGGAGGAAGAGGGCGACGTTGGGTATGGGACCGTGGCCTGCGCTGGGAAGGATGAGACTGGGGAGCTAGCAAAGGAGGGGGGGAGGGAGATGGGGGGCGAAGAGGGAGGGAGAGGAAGTGGCGAGTGGGGTTAGGGTGTTCAGGACGCTGTTGTTGCGGTGGCGTTGGAGAATATGTTTGAAAACGTCAGTGAGATGAGAGTCAGTGGAGTGTGTGAGAGACGTACCGAGGGGTTGGGAGGTGGGGAGAGAAGGAATGGTGTCGAGGATGGGGTGTCACGACCACACCAGAACAACCATATCCTACAAAGAGGGGTTGCTGGCAGGCGATCTCTCACTCAGAAACACACACCAAGGGCGAGGAAAAGGTTGTATAGGGGGGAGACTGACGATCTCAAGACTAGAGTACAAAACAGGAAGTAGGTAGGTTTATATACTAGCCAGAACCAAACACAACCAAACCCAGGCCACAGTGGCACAGAAACTCAGAAAAGTGTGGCCCAACTGTGGCACCCACCAGGAAATAATAGAAAAGGCATGGAAATGACAAAAGGTCATGACATGGGGTACATCAGTTCGAGGGTGTGAGGGAGGGAATGTGGCGAGATGGCGGAGAGATAAGAGACGGAAGCTGTGAGGGCTGCGTGGTGAACCTATGGCAAGAAATGACAGTCAGAACGAATGGAACGCGATGGTAATTAACAGACGAAGGGAAAAGAGAAAAAAATAGGGTAGGACGGTTACATCGAGATGTGGCGACGGTGTGATAACGCCGTCAGACAAAGACGGGAATGGCTATGACAGACGGCACGCCCCAATCGTCCATGAAATTTCAGGAATGAGAAAAGAGTGAGTAGAACACTCACATCGACACTCTGCGGATCCTACAATCCTCTTCTAAGGACCTCGACCACCGCTTCCGTCTGCAAATCCAACACCAAATTCGGACACCCGCCAAACACGCTAAACACACTCTCCCTCTGCCCTGATTCGCTTGAGTTCATCATCTGGAACGCCTGGGCCTTCCTCTCGCCATGGAGTTGTTCGCGAGATCGGAGACGGTGTCTACGCATTTGCGGAGGATGACGGGGGAGGTTTCGTGGGCGAGGGAGTGGAGGCAACGTTCGAGGGTGGTGAGAGTTCGGGATGAGAGATGGTCGTAGAGGGCGAGGTGAGAAGACGCGTGTGGTTTGTGGGACGATACTACTCAATGCAGCATCGTAGACAGTGTTCAGTGAGGTACTCCACAAGTGTAGATATTGTTTTGCTTCCCTATGTGTTGCCGTCACCTGTACTCTTGCTTCTGGTTGCTGACCGTGCGTGTGAACGTTTTAGTCTACCGGCTGGAGCGTCAGATGGTAGTCTCGATTTGAACACAAGCTCTAAAGACTAAAATACGGTGTATTTGTTCATCGAAGAAGGAAAGATGCAACAGAATCGTAAACCAAGGAATCCACGAACAATAATTGAACGATACAAACACGAGACAGATGGATCCGATTAAATGTACACGAGTATATAAAATGCCATGAACCATCTGCGTACATCACGACGAAGGCGAGTTCTGTGAGGGAGAAGATGGGCGAGGCGGCTCAATCGGACCACTATCCTCAGAGTCGCTGGAGCTGCTGGAGCTGCTGTCCACGTCAATGTCAAGGTCCTCATCCACCTCTCGATCCTCGATGCTGATAGCCGGCCAATGACGGTGACCATCTGTGAAGATACGCTGACCTGCTTAGTCGCGACAGCATGCATGATAATTGCTGAAGAACGTACCCTGAGGTATCTGCGCATAAGCTTCCGGTATCCATTCTTGCAGGTAACTCATGAGCATATTGTAGGCTTCCCTCTCTGCTCGGCGTGCGCTATAGTATGGAGGACGCTGAGCGATAAGTTTTTGAGGGTCGTTGAAGGCCTCGAGGGGGGTTTTTAGCCCGTAGAGCCCGATCGTCGCTGTTTCGAGGTCCCAAGTATGGCACAGGAGATAAGAGTAAGTCACGAGAACACGTTGAGAAGAGAGGGGTGCAGTGCATACATGGCTTCCACATTCACATCGCCCAACCCAGCTCCCACAACTCATCGCAATTGAAGTCGTCTTTGTCTGGTCCAAAATCTCCTAAGCCCGGTATTGGACGGGCTCGATCGCATTCTAACTTCAAGGCCTCTTCGAAGTCGATCACGGAAACCCGACCTTCCTTGTCAACGAGAACATTTCGCTCAGCGACATCGCCATGGATGACTCCGGCCTTGTGAATCTGATTGAATGCATCCATGACCTTGATCCTATACGGCAACAAAGGTTAGTACACTGAGGCTCGGAAAAGTAATTCAGAATTCGGGATAGAATAGAGGTGAATACCGGCACAGAGGTTGGAAGGGGAGCCTGCAAAATGCAGTGAACAAAAGTGAAAGAGAACCCACTTAAGCTCGCGCGGTATATACTCAAACGGGCGCTGCAACGGTTCTCCCGCGTGCTCGAGAACGAGACACCCCGCAACCTTGAGATCTTCGAAATAACCGTAAGACTGTGGTACGACCTTACCCTGAAGGCTCTTCAGGGCACGGTAGATAGAATCCTCCTGTGCAAGACGATCCATGCCTTCATTGGTGTAACTAAGCTTACAGACAAGCCTAACTGGTGATGCTGCGCCAGAAAGCATAGAGCCCTCGAAGATGTGGTAGAGATCATCAGAGTGTATCGAGTGGTCACATTGGATTGAGATAGTATTGTCGTCACGGTTATCCCTGTTTTTGTAGCGAGGGAGTTGAAGAGACCGCCGTAGACGTTGGGTGTTTGGTGGTAGGTCGACTGTCAAAGACATGCTTAGCGGGATGGAATTGTGAGGAAGGAGACGAGTCTCAACAGCCTTTGAGAATGCCAGGCCAACGCACCTTGTCCGCAACCATCATGTCATCGGCTTCTTCCCACGCTTCCGCCACTCCCCGTCCCCCTCCACTTCCTCCAGATCTACAAGGTACCCCAAACATCGACCGCATGGCTTATAGAGAGGCACTAGCCTCTGTGTCTCTTGCACTCGACAAGCTCGAGAATCTCAACATCCGGGACATCTCGCGCTACCCCTCATTCCGAGAAGGGACATTCGGCCTCCTACCTTTCTACCACCGCATTTATACCCTCTACCAGCTGACCAGAGGTATCGACACCACCCCCAAGGAGAACATTAGCCTCCACCGGGAGCCCGACTTCCTCAAATACATCGCTGACACTGTCGCCGAAATGCAGCAGCGGGAGGCTACCTCTGCCCCAGCCCCCACCACACCCCGGCCGCGTGTGGCCCAGCCGCCTTCGGCCCGGCCCACCCACGCTCCCAATTCCTCCGGCCCGGCTCTTAAGGCCTCTAAGGCCGTTCCTTT